GATTTAAGAGAGGTTTTTGGCAAAATCAGAAAGTGAAGTTTTTTAAATTTGATGACCAGAATTTCTGTAAACTAGCTTTGAAATTGGTCATACTGTGTAGGTATATATGCTTTAAGACCGTTAACGCCCTAAAATAAAGCACAAAGAACTCTTAAAACTTTCGAAAATTAAAAGTATACCGAACCGACCACTCGGGAGGTGCAAGCGAGATGATTTGCCTTTCCAAAAAAAAAAGTGGACTATGGCTCATTTATCCTTATAGAAAAAGTGAATGTCTTCACGTCAAGATTCAAACTAAAGATGAGATGTATAAACATGTCCATTTTTGTCTTTTTCATCAATACCTTTTTCGGACTTCCAGAACTCTTCTCTGGTTGGAACTTTAACGATGCTGGTCAGTTGGTTCCCCAGAAAGCACCTCCAAGATCTGGCCATGGAATGTCTAGAAATCCTAGACGAGCCTGACCTCACCGCTGACCACGTCTCCATCTACGCTGAAGTCGTCGCCAACTTCGACATTGGGCTTCTTTTCAAGAAAATCAAGAAAGGTGGGAGAGAGGGGGAAAAATGCGAGTTTTGCGAGCTTCTAGAAAAATTGGAACTAGAATTTTGTTATAGATAACGTGTCGAAAAAAAATAACACTTTAGTGGTCACTTTTTTGGAGTACTGCGAAGTGGAACTACAAAGTTGGCTGAGGATATCTGAAACAGACCGTTAAGGGGTAACTGGAGGTACTTCTGGTTTTCAGAAAGTAACTACTTAAGGGATTAAAAAGTTCCAATGGTTCTGAAGTAGTCACTCAAGTGGCTGTTTATTGAAGTCTGGAGGTGTGGCCTTTTGTAAATTCGTAAATAACGTGTCGAAAAAATACCACTCAAGAGGTCCCTTAAGCAGTTTTTTTGTCCCCTCAGATGTTTTTAGATGTTTTTGGAGTACTGCCAATTAGAACTACAAAGTTGGCTGAGGATATCTGAAACAGACCGTTAAGGGGTAACTGAAGGTACTTCTGGTTTTCAGAAAGTAACTACTTAAGGGATTAAAAAGTTCCAATGGTTCTGAAGTAGTCACTCAAGTATAAATTCTGGAGATGTGGCCTCTTAAGTGACCACTAGGGG